TCTGTCTTTGTTTTGTAAAAATTTGGCAGTAGCAGGATACAGCTCCTTCACAATCTACTGAATTAGGAAGCACTGAGAGCACTTTTCTTGTAAGTTCTGGAAATCTCTCTGAGACTACCTCTGAATTCCAGAATCTAATTAAGTCCTGGTTTGAACATTCTTTTACATATTCTTTGTAAGCAGCAAACTCTAGTTTTATTTCTTGACCACTCATTCCTGGAATATTCTTGAATGCATCATTGTCTTCAATATTGAGGTTGATTATTTGTTCTGGATCGAAAACTCGAGCAGCTTTCATGAAGTTTAATGCAGATTGACTAAACTTGGGTCCGAGTTTTTTGAATACGTCTAGTTCTGGAGAGTAGTAAGTATTAAACTTTGCAATTGTTTTGTGAAACACTTCTTGAAGAAATACGCTGTGTGAATCTTTTCGTGAGTATGATGCCTGAAAATTACATCAAAGTTTAGACCGCAGATCAAAAATCTTATTGTAAGCTTTGTGAATAGATACACCACATGTTTTGAAAAAGAGAAGAGTACCTATCCATTAATATCTGAGCTTGTTCTGCAATGAACTGAAAGTCTTTGCAAACATACCTGCTTTCCACCAAAACTTTGCACTGATTGAGACAAGCAGTGTCAGAAGTAAGGTTTATTTCACTGCTAAAAAATTCTATGGAAACTGAAGATGATGGCGACCTATTGAAGATGATTGCGACTGATAAAAGCTATGTGCCGGGGGGGNCTGTCAGATTCTTGGAAAGATCTGACCACCTGACCAAAAAGATTCTTGGAATTGAAAAAAAAGATATATTTCAATTGAAAAAAAAAACCCCAAAGGAGAAATTTATCTGGTAAATGAATACATTTTGCTGAAAAATAAAAATTATACAGATATGCTGCGATTAAGTGGAAAATTGCAAATTATGCGGATAATTGTGAATTATGTGGGTTTCCGCATCTTCGCATAATTTATAGGGCCCTATTCATAAAATATAAAGCTGTAACCAAGACATAATATGTTAATTTTCAAGTGGTTTAATTTAAAAAAATAATTACATCGCACATACTGAAGAAATTTACTAATTTGTAAAATCAGAATTCAATAAAAAAAATCCGTTCTTTTTAAATATAATGCTAGGAGTAGTTACCTTCAATCCTCGTACATATTTATCACTAATTTGACTGAAATCTTTCCGTCGATCAGGATGGGGCCTTTGGTGTTTTAAAGTTGCAGTTTTTGCACCAAAATACCATGGAGCAGAAGAAATATACTGTGGTAGTTGAGGATTAATGTCCCTAAAATTAAAGATATTTAGAACCAGAGTTGAATATTTAACATGACAAACCACAAAAAAAGGTTAAAATTATCAATGACTGCTTAAAAACAATAAAAGTAGTGAATAGCAATGTTATATGAAGGAAAAGCTTTGGAGAGAAATTTCATTCTGATATCAATTTTTGAGGAGGGAATTTTCAAATAGAAAGGTGAATTTCAAAACAAATATCACATTTATAAATTACAGATTATACTACTTAACAAATAAATTATACAAAGAAAATAGAACAGAATTATGGCATTAATGTTTAGTCAAAAAACATTACTCCGCATTGGTTTAATTTCTTTTTTCCTCTCCATATTTACAATTTAATTAAACTTAGGTTTTTAAAATAAAAGGAATTTAAATTTTTATGCATGTTTTTTATTTCTCTACTTAATAGCATGTTTGAAATTCATGACACAATGGACACCTTCATTGGTGACAGTAAAAAGGTGGAGGAAAGATAATCTAATTGCTTTAAATCTGACTTTAAGACTTTATTATATCATGTTTTGCAATTATTGAAAATGTT